AAAGTTCATTAAACCGTTCACCCAATGACACGTATAAGTAGTTTTCAGGCTTTGCTACTATAATAAAATTCATATGAACGTGTGTGTGTGTGTGTGTGTGTGTGTGGTTCTGTGTAAAATATTTTCTTGTCTTTCTGAAATAATTGCCAAGAAGTGCAAAGAAGAAATTAGATGTTGGTACATGTTTGATTCCATAAGAAAATGCCAACCTCTTTTTCAAATTGTGTCAGTTTACACTTACAAATGTAATAATGTACAAACAACCTAGTTTCTTCAGCTCTCTGCAGATTTGGTGGTGTCATTTACATAATAATGTTTATGATGATTTTTCCTACAGTCCTGTCTCAATCACTTTTTTGACACACTTAGAAAAATCTTTTCTGCCCCATCACTTCCCCAACCACATCTATTATGACATCTCAGAGTTTGGTAACACAAAACTCTATCCCAATCATCTTTGGTTATGGCCCTGAATAAAATAGAGATAGTCACCCTTCTCAGATATGCAAAATACAGCAAGTTTAAATAAATAATAATGGATGATTTAATAGTCTGACTTACAGGAAAGAGTAAATAGTACAAACAAATGAGATAAAATTTAACAGGAGCACATCTGTTCTTTCTATACTGGCTGTAGTTGATTTTCTTGTAAATCCAGTCTATTCTTTCTGACCTCCCAAATTTCTAAGGAAAGTATAAAAGAAGTATTAAAATAAATACTTTAAATGGATGTTATGACTATGTACCTAGTTTTAAAACAGCACCTGACTTTTCCCTTGCATCATCCTTAAAAGGAAAGAAAAACGTGCACACACACACACACACACACACACACACACACACACACACCACACACACACCCCCCACACTATTGAATAGCTTGAAGTTACGGAATGATTCATGTATTTTAAGAAATCAGCTTAAGCATTGGGTTATGAAACATAACCAGAAATGTCACTTCCACGCAGAGCTTGAATATATAACATGTGGTTTGCCAAGTTCTCTTTTCTTCAGTGTCATGATGATTGGCAATATTTCAAACAAAGACAGTTCCATCAGCTCTCTCTAATAGAAAGCAGACAACATGGGCAAAACTGTAGCCCACTCTAGATGGCAGTGCAGTGTGTGGAAAATTTAAAAGTTACAGAAGCCAGTCCCTGATATTAGAAGTTGTTTCTTCCTATGGTAAGATAAATGAACCTGTTAATAGATACAGTCATGAAGAAGAATGAGAAAAGAAAATTTTATTAATTACAGCTATTTTAGTTACAAAAAAATTGCGATGAAGCAAAGGAGTAGGATATGAATTGGTGGTGGTGGTTGTTGTTATGTTCCTGTGACTCATAACAACCCTATGTACAGCAGCTCTGAAGCCAGTCCTTTGGAGCCAGTCTCACTGACTAGGACACAACTATCCCCATTTCCCCAGTTACTGTGTCAATCCATTTCATTCAAGGTCTTCCTTTCTTTTGTTTTTTAAAAAATAACTTTAATGAATGTTTACAGAGATTTTGGATTTCCATTCATTCATTGTTGCACTTTTCTCCCAGCCTACCCCACCCCCTCCCAGTTTGCTCCTCTTTTTGAAAAGTAAAAGAAAAATTATTTCATTGGTATACAATCCCCCTCTCCCCCTGAGTACACTCCACTATGCAACCTTCATCCTGGACTCTTGTCATAACCATAATACTCAATCATATATCTCTTTTAAACTGTCCTCTCCCTCATCTGCTTCAATGCAGTAAACATAATTTATCCAATTTTTCTGAGTCTTTTGCCAACCTTGATGTCAGTCCCATTCTACAACAGTGGCATTATGCACTATTTGTCTTTTTGTGACCGAAATATTTCACTCAGGGTAATGTCCTCCAAGGTCACCCATTTTGAATAATATTGCATGAGTTCCTTGTTTTTCAATACAGCGTAACATTCTATTGTGTGAATATACCAGAGCTTCTCTATCCATTTGTTTATTGATGGGCACTTAGGTTGTTTCCAACTCTTTGCTATTGTGAACAAGGCCATAATAAACATTGGTGGGCATATATCTGCCTGGGTGGCAGACAAAGGTCTTCCTTTCCTGTGCTGACCCTCTACCCTTCCAAGCATGATGTCCTTCTCCAAGGACTGGTTCCTCCCTGCCATGTGCCCAAAGTATGTGAGATGGAGTTTCAAAATTCTAGCCTCCAAGGAGAAACTTGATTTCATCCTCCCCAAGACAGACTTATTCTCTTGGTGGTCCATGGTATGTTCAAGACTCTTCTCCAGTACCATAACTCAAAGGCATCAATTCTTCTTCTATCATCTTTAGTCATTTTCCAGCTCTCTGATGCATATCAAGTAATTGTCAAGACCTTGGCCTGGATTAGGTGCACCTTAGTCTCTAGATGAACATCATTTCTTCTCAGTACTCTGGAGAGGTTCCACACAGCACGTTTTCCCAGTGCACTTTGTCTTTTGACTTCCTGACTGCTAGAAATTAATATCATCTTTGTAGAGGAAATAATATTCAACATTTTATCAGCTAAGTTCCAACTAAAAAATAGAAAGTAATTTAAATATTTAGGAAAGAGTAAATGTGATGTAAATAATTGATCACGTAGATAATCTGTCCTTCTTTCATGCTGTTGCGAGAGAACTGACACTTCACTGTGTTTCTGAACCTATAAATCACACAAGAAGATATTGTCCTCAAAGCTAAAACAGATGTCAACAAGAAAATTAAGAAGCCAGTTACAACATGAAGACATTACCAATCTCAGACAGGGAGGCAAAAATAAGAGATGGCACGGCCAAAGCCCACCCAGCCATAATTGGAACCTATACAGGCCTACCCAGCAGGACCTAGAGTCTCAGCCATGGTACAGTCACGTCAAACTTTTTCCAGAATAGGGAGATGTTCTCCAGTTTTTCCTTTCCCCCTTTATTATCTCTTGCCTGTGCTCCAACTCAACCATAAAGTCAACAGAAACCTCAGAAATGCAAACTTCCCACTCCCAAGCTTCACTACACAACAAAGAATAAGTTAGAAAATAGAACTTCAACAGTCCTGAAACTATCACAATCCCTGATTTGGAGGTAAGTCATACCAGGTATTCTGAGTTGGAAGAAATTTAATGTTTAATTATGGTGAAAGAGTGATGGAATGAATGGTTATCTTTTTAGTGTGTCTGAAGCTTACAGCACATGTGAAGAAAAGAATCTATGCTGAGACTATGTATGTTGTGAAAGGTCAGGTCAGGAACGGCCTTATATACCCTGCAAACAACTCACGTTGCTCTCAGATCAATTCTCGGGCAGAGTGGCCTTATGTGCATCAGCCTAGAACTGTGCTCCATAGGATTTCCTTTTCTCCATTTTTTAAAAATTCTATTAAGATTTAATATGCCTCCGGAAACTCTATGAACTTTGACAAATGTCAATGGATGTAGAGGGACTTCAGGCCCTTTGTTCATAGAGTCTCTATGAATCGTGCTTGACTCGAAGGTAATCAACAATAGCAACAATGTTAAGATTTAAGTGAAAGATCACAATTAATTTGAAATTCAGTTTCCTTACATGGATTTTCCACTCAACAACTCATACTTGTTATGTTTCATGACACTGATTACAACAGAATTCAGAACTAATTTGCCAAGTTTTATAAAATAAAGCCTTGACTTGGTGACAGATCTGTGAGTGGAATTATATGAACAACAACTTATTGCCATTGAGTCAGAACCTACTCGTAGCCCTTCAGGTGACTTTCAGAAGTTGTAAATGGGAAAGGAAAGAATTGCCTGACTTGTTCTGCAGAATAGATAAAGGATTTGAAGTGTGCAACATTTTGGCACCAGGTCATCACTGATCCCTGAAGACTTATCAAGCATTAATATTGCTAGGAGAACAAACAGGGCCATCCTAGAGAGGGTGAAACCAGGCTGCTCCTTGGAGGCAAGAATTCTGAAGCTCTGTCTGACCTACTTTGGGCATGATGCAAGGAGGGATCAGTCCTTGGAGAAGGACACCACACTTGGGAGGGTGGAGGGACAGTGCAAGAGAGGAAGACCCTTGATAAGATGGATTGACTCAGTAACTGGGGTAACAGTGGTAGGTGTGTCAGAGACGATGAAGTTGGCACAGGCTAGAGCAGGATTCAGAGCTGTTGTACATAGGGTCACTATGAGTCACAAGTGACTTAAGGACACATAACAACCATATAAACTTAATGGAGTACAGCATTCCAGTGAGGTGGTTGTTGGTATGTGCCATCAAGCCACCTGCAACCCATAGCAACCCTACACACAGCAGCTCTGAACCCTGCCCTGTTCTGAGTAGACTACTAATAATGAAAGTAGGAACACTCTAGTTTTGTTAGACAACATTTTGAGATATTGTTTTCACTTTAAGTTTAAAAATGTCTAGAATTGGGAAATTGAAGAATAAGGCATTTGGAAACATGGTTAAGTGAAATAAATAGTCGTATATAATAGAAATACTCAGCTTAGAGGTAGTAAGAGGGAAATCAAAACCAGTTGTCACTGATTCTCTTGACTCATGGTGACCTCGTATATTGCAGAGAACAACTATACTTAATGACGTTTTCATGGTCATTCAGAAGAAGACTGTCAAAGCTGCCTCACTTAGTTCTTTCCGTTGGGTTCAAGCCATCAACCTTCTGGCAAATACCCAAGTGTTTAAATGCATCACTTGAAGATCCCAATGTAGAAGGGAAGAATGAATATAAATCTTACTTAAAATTTCAGATTCTCTTTATAACCTTAGGTTTTATAGATTTTATGATCCAAGGGAACACTTTTGTTAGTCACTTCTGTATAGGTTCTATAGAAATAAAATCAGAGAAGTCTCTCAATTTGTTTCATTGCTTTATTGATTCTCTTCAGAGATGATTACATTTTAGGAGATCTAGGAGTATGAACAGAAAATTGAGCTTCAGTCAGGGGGGGAAACATAGAATCATGCTCTTCCAAGTTCCTCCTTGATCTTGCTTTATCCTGTCATCAAACTAAGTGTGAAAGGGCCTCCTGAAAAGGTAGAAGAATAACAGTTAAAATAAGAGAAGCTTCTTCACCAGTTATGTACACTTTCTGCCATATTTACTACTTGACTAAGAGGGAAACAGCTTCAGAGAGGCACATGTCTCATCTAAAATGAAAAAGCTGATAAATGATAACACAAAAGCCTAAATATAAACCTTCTATCATTCAAAAATACTTCCGGAAATGTGGAGTTCCCCTTTCTTTGAGACTCAAAGATATGCAAACATCTGGTGAGTACAGTCAGTTAAGGGCTTGAATTCTCTAGTTCTAAGTGGTGGGCTAGTGGTAAGAAACCGCACTGCTATCCCGAAGCCACGCAGTTCAAATCCACCAGCTGCTCTGCAGGAGAAGGATGGGCAATCTCCCCTCGTGTGATTCATTGGAGGATCAGTTATGTATGGGTCAATTCCAACTTCATGGTACTCAACAACAACAAATGAGAATAGGAGGACGTGTAGTAGGATGGGTGAACTGGCCTTCGTGATGACTAAGCCCTCCCACTTGAAAAATTAATCCAGAAACTCCATAGCTACCAGCAGTTTCTTCACAGCTTCACAGCTCTCAGGTCCCAAATCGTTCACACACTTCCTTAAGCCTTCCACAAGGTGCTCGGCTGAAATGCCCAGTGTTTTCAGAACAAGCTTCAATGGATCCAAGAAGGAGAAAATATTTTCCACAGGTAAGGAGGGTAAAAGATTGCTGCCCGGGATTGGCAAACTATTCATGAAGAAGGCATTAGCTGTAGAACGAAAGAGAAACCAAGTGGATCAGATAGGTCTAACTCATCTCCATAAACTCATCACATTTCACCCTGTTCACAACAGCTTCATTCTAGCCAAGGTGATCTTCTTTTCCCGTGAAAATATTTGCCTCATAGTCTTTGCACCCAGTGTTTCAACTCTGCAAAACAGTCTTTCCACAGATAGCTACTTTTGTAGCTTCATTTTATACGCACAGTATTCAGATTTTCCTTGTATGTTACCTCTCCTTAGAGTGGACTACAGTGGCCACTGTATCTAAAATAGCACTGACTTTATCCTGTCTTTCTTTACATTTTTCCTTCACAGAGTTATTACCTAAACATTCAATCTGTATTTCTTATTTTTATTACCTTTACTTTCTTGGTAGAACACAAACTCCATGACAATAAGGGCTTTAATTTGCTCACTATTGTATCCCACACCTAAAATAGCCCACAATCAATACTGGCAGTTGACTGGGCTGATGAGTACTCTGGGTTTGGCTAATATCAAGCAATTAACAATGAAACACATTTTCTGACTTCACAGATCACAACTTTGCAATGAAACGTAGCGGTTCTATAACAATTCTTCACTCAGAGACTAGAATGAACCCAGTCATAGATCTGGGAACTCAATTGTTCAACAAGTCAATCAGTATCATATACACAGATACCGTTGTTCATTCCTGTCAAATTGGAACTGGCTCATCTATGACCCTCCAGTGGTTTTTTCAGAGGCTGTAAATCACACGGGTAGAGATTGCCTGTCTTTCTCCCATGGAGCAGCTTGTGGATACAAACCATGCACCCTTGAGTTGGCAGAGGAACTCTTTACCACTAGGCCACCACAGCTGCCTCCATGTTGTTGTTGTTGTTATGTGCTGTCGAGTCACCTGAAACTCATAGTGATCCTATGAAGCTCTGAAGGCTGCCCTGTCCAGAGCCAGTCTCACTGATTCTGACGCTCCTAACCCCATTGCCCCAGTTACTCATAGATGGTCTTCCTCTCCTGTACTGTCTCTCCACCCTTCCAAGCATGATGTCCTTCAAGGACCGATTCCTTCTGGTCATGTGCCCAAAGTATGTGAGACAGAGCTTCAAAATCCTATCTTCCAAGGAGAAATTTGGTTTCATCCTCTCCAAGACATATCTATTTGTTTTTTTGGCAGCCCATGGTATGTTCAAGACTCCTCTCCAGCATCATCACTCAGAGGCACTGATTATTCTTATATCATCCATAGTCAGTGTCTAGCTCTCTGATGCATAGTAAGTAATTGCAAAGACCATGACATGGATCAGACACTCCTTAGTCTCTAGACTGACATCGTTGCTTCTCAGTATTACAGAAAGGTCCTTAACAGCAGATTTACCCAATGTTATTTATCTGATGGTTTCCTGACAGCTGGTGCCAAGAGTGTTGATTGCAGAGCAGAGAATGTTGTTAACTATTAACAACCTTAAATTTCTTCTCCATCCATCATGGTGCTGCCAGTTGGCCCAGTGGTGAGAATCTTTGTCTTCTTGATGTTGAGCTTCAATCCATATTGAAGACTATAGTCCTTGACCTTCTGCAGCAAGCACTTCAGAATCTACATAGATACTAGTTATATGCTAATTACTACAGATGCACAGAAGCTGCAGTATGTAGTTCAAGTCTACCAGCTGTTTCTCATAAGAAAGATAGACAATCTCTTTTTGGGTAATTAGCTGCCACCAAAAACCCACTGGAGAGTCAGCTATGAGACAGTTCTGAGTCAACAGCACATAACAACAACAACTCCCTTCAGGAACTAGTACAATATGTTGCTGTTGTTGTCATTTACCACAGAGCTGAAACCAACCCATAGCTGACCCTCCTGCAGGTTTTCAGAGGCAGTAAATTGCATAGGAGAAGATTGTCAATCCTTCTCCCATGGAGCAGTTGGTGGATTTGAACTGGTGGTCAATTCCTATACTAGGATTATTGTCTGGAGATTCACATGTAAGGCAGTTGAATTCTGGAGGGTAGATTCACGTGATTTAGTTGAAAGTCTGGTGTAAACTGGTTATATTTTGTGTGGGGTTTTTTTTTTGGGGGGGGGTGCTTTATCCCTGCCTTCACGATTGATTGTAAGCTGATGGGTCTCCTGGATTTAGTTAACAATCAAGCGCGGGCTGGAAGCTTCTTCTTTAAGTCAATCAGGACCTAGTGGGTGGACCTTTGTATTTAAAAGTTGACTGGGCCCTCAGGCTTGTGGCCCTAGGATCTGGTGTTATGTTTGGGAAGAACAATTTTCTAAGTGGTATAGCACTGGTGTGTCAGTTTGCTATAGTGAGATAACTTGGGGTTGCTGTGATACTGAAAACTGTGTCACTGATGTGTCAAATGCCATAATGGTTACCCATGGTGGATAGGTTTTGGTAGAGCTCCCAGATAAAGACAAGCTTGAAAGCAGGACTGGAATCCAATTCTTAAACAACAGGCCTTTGGAAACTATGAACATTAAGAGAAGCAACAATAATTATAGAATAGGGTTTAGATCTTTTTTTCATAGGGTCACCATGAGTCATACGCTACTTGACAGCACTTAGCAACAACAACAACAAGAACAAGACTATAGTGTATCATATGGTATAACGAAGTCATAATATAGTGGATAGATGAAAGGAGAGATGGCTAATTCTAGTATGTTGTTGTTGTTGTTGATCGTCGTCGAGTCGAGCATGACTCACAGCGATCCTATGAACAAAAGGTCTGAAGCCGTTCTGTAACTATCATCATTTATCAACGTTTCTAGAGCTTCCAGAGACATGTTGTTTAGGAAGTAGATGCCACTCCTCCTGCTTAAAAAAAAATCTATTACGTACTAAAAAAAAAAAAGGATTGCAGAGTATTTCCTCAAAGAGATACTGCTGAAGTCAAACATCAGCATTAAAAGATAAAAAAATGGAGTGATCTTTAAGAAATAAGATTACAAAGAACACTGAGTGGTTAAAATGATAGTGCATACACAGAATGGTGGACCTGCTAATCACAGTATTTGTTGTTTTGTATTGTCAAGTCAGCATTGACTCATAGCTGTTCTGAGACTACGTATCACACAGGAGAAGATTGCTAATCTTTCTCTCGTGGGACAGCTGGTGGATTTGAATCAAGTGGTAAGTATACAGACATATAGTGGAACAAGTCAAGGAGGGGAGGATACACAAGTTAATTTGCAAAAAGTAGTCAGATCAGATTTAGAAAGTCTTGACTGTCAAATCATAGAGTCTTGTCTTCTCTGATGGCCTAGTGACAAGAAGCTACACTGCAAACCCAAAGGCACACAGTTCAAGTCTACAAGCTGCTCTGTGGAAGAAGTCTGGACAATCTCCTCCCTTTTGAATTACTGTCTCTGAAGACCCACTGGAGGGTCAGCTATGGGTCAGTTCTGACTCAATGATACCCAACGGTAAAACAAAAGAGAATGTCAATACTTTGAAATGCAGCAATTATATTTTCTACCTTTGATTTTAAAAATATATCTTGCAACACAAAGGACAAACCAGAGGTAATGAGCACAGATTGGGGAAAGTGCATATATTTACTTTTGCAAAAACATATGTGCAATAGTATAAACATACCATAGATACACATACCCACAGAAGAATAAATATGCTCCTACTAAGTCCCCACCATACAGTTTTCTTGACCTCTTCATTCAAACTCTTAAAAATGAAACCCATGCACTTAGTTTTCTCTCATTCTCTGCCACATATTTCTTCCAAAATTCTTTCTATAACCTGGTTATTTAGTTTCCTTCTCACTTCTTTCTTTAACCACTGCTGCCTATAAATCCCTAAATAAAAAAACAGTACCACAATACTAAAAATTGATGACATTATAAGTTCCTCCCAAATTCAATATAAAATAAAGCTAAAATTATCAAAGATAGAGACAGAATTGATGCCTTTGAGCTGCGGTGCTAGTGAGGAATATTGAATATATAAAGGACTACAAGAATAAACAGGTTCATGCTGGAGAGGGTGAAACCAGGCTACTCCTTGGTGGTTAAGATTCTAAAGGTCCATCTGACATACTTAAGACATGTTGTAAGGAGGGACCTGTCATTGGAGAGGGACATTACGCTTAGGAGCGTGGGGGGACAGTGAAGGAGAGAAAGACCCTCGTGAGATAGGTTGACTCCGTGACTGAATTAACTGGGGTAGATGTGTTGGAGACCATAAGGTTGGCTCAGAATAGAGGAGAGTTTAGAGCTGTTGTACATAGGGTCAATATGAGTCTCAAGCAACTCAACAACACATACCAACAACAGCAGCAAAGTTGCCCATACCTATGTGAGATATAGTCACTTTTTTCAACAGTTATTCTGTGTACTTCTTTTGTTACACACTTTGGTGAGTGTTTCTCTGCCTGTATTTATGCCCTCCTGAGGGAAGACATCCTCTGAGGGAACAGCTATCATAAAACAAATAAAAATTTCTCGCAGTTGCAGTGACTCCTTTCACAGTGATTTCATTCCACTCTCCACCAGAAAGCCAACTTCTACATTCGTACCAGGAAATTGAGCGTCTTCCACCTCAAGCAATGGTCCAAAGAGCCTTTTGTGTATATCTCAATTGCACTTACAGTAGTTTCTGCTGCAGTAATTTCTATAGAGCCTTCTCTTCTTAGGACTTGAGGAAAATACTTATGTCTGACTCATGGAATCTTCTAATTCTTTTCTAACATCCAACAGATTGTAACCACTTAAGATATATTCACTGGTTAAGGGACAGATATATGTAGCTGTGACTAAGGAGAACCAATTCGACAACCTGGCTGATTGGAAATGACCATGAATGACTCCATATAGTTTCAAAACACAAAAGAAAAGTTTACAAAATCAGATTATCACTCAAAATTAAGGAAAAACGAATGGTGATCCATGATTTAAATGAAATACACTTCATTGACCATAAGTGAAAGTTGCTTATGTCTGATACATTAATGGAGGAACTTGTAGCTGGACAAAGCATAAAATCTAAAGGCATCTGAAATTCCTTCAAGCTCTGTCATTCTAAAAGATGGTTCTCAACCCCCTTTTCCACCATATTCTACAGTCTCTGAAACTAGAGTTACCAGTAATATTCTTATTAATGTAGAATCATTATGTTGTTGTTGTTGTTATGTGCCCTCGAGTCATTTGCGACTCATAGTGACCCTATGTACAAGAGCTCTAAACGCTGTTCTATTCTGTGCCAACTGAGCAATCTCAAACGCACTTATTTCCACCGCTCCAGTCACAGAATCGATCCATCTCATACAGCCCATATTACTTACCAGTGTAACTGCAAATGCCGACGGTCACTAACAGGAAGAGAGTAACCAACTTCATGACAGATGTCTGTGAAATTTACCCGGAGTTTACAGCTGAACTGGAAAACCCAGCAAATGTCCAAACCAGTGGTTATGCTTGGCACACACAGTGTGACTGTGGCTTGTGCACACACACTACTTATCCACTCACAAACGACACGCGTTTTCATCAGCACCACTTGACCTTTCCTACCTGAAAAGACTATGCAGGTCATGTTTCCTCAGTTAAACAAGCTCAAGAGGATTTTTTTTCTCGTTGTTTTGTTTCCCCCAGCTCCCTTCACGTTCCCACAAGAAACAAAGGACTAAATTGAAGCATTTTCAAGCACGTCTTGCATAAGATCCTTCACAAAGATGGCAGACTAAAAGCTTTATGAGAACCATGGAAGGAAGTGAAGGTTAGTGGAAGAAATAAAATGGATTGAAAATGTCTGTTTTCTCTGGATTTTGAATTACAGTTTGAACACTTAAAATAACTTAGATGTAGTAATCTAGAGGTGACGTTAGTTTGGGCATAACAGTCTGCTTCATGACATTTTCTGCCAAATTTCTCTACAGTCTATTGTTAGTGACCCTTCCAAAGTGCTGAAGAGCAAAGATACCAGTTTGAACACTAAGGTACTCCTGATTCAGATCATGATCTTTTCAATTACTTGTTATGCATCTGAAAGTTAGTGAATAAAGATGACAGGAGAAAATTGATGCCTTAGACTTGTGATGTTGGAGAAGAATGTTGAAAATCTTATGGACTGTGAAGAGGACAAACAAGTGTATCTTGGAGAAAATGTAGTCAGGGTGCTTCTTGGAGGCAAGGTTAGAGAAGCTCTGTCTCACATACTTTGGACATGCAGTTTGGAGGGACTAAAAATTCGATAGAAAACAGTTCTGCTTTAAATTAGGGCTCAAAAGTAGAGGATGTTTGTTTGTGGGTCTTCAGGATAAAGAGAATTTTGTAAGAAAAAGTTCTTGGCATGAAGCTTTAACATAAATTTTGTAGTGAAATCTCTTCCATGCAACTTTATTGGCAGAAAGGCTGGTTTCTGAGGCTGATATTTTCTTTTTAGTCTCTTAAAACATTAACATGGAAGATACTTAAACCTGATTTATTTAGAGTTATTTGTACGTAAATATGGTATCATGATGGGTAAACTTTCCATGGTCCACCTATTCAATTGAGCAATTCGAAGTAGACAATTGGCACCTTGCCCTTCTGATTTTCTCTTTCTCCCATGAGCCAATCTGAATACATTCCAATGACACTGAATACTGAAATCACCTCATCTGCCAGAAGTAATAGTTCACTACTATTTGCAGCACCATAATGATTGAGAACTCTGGCCTTTCTGGTGCCAAAACACTCCTTAAAGTCAGTGACGTTGAAAGGAGAGGTGATTACCAGACTACATGTTAAAGCCATGGCAGAAGGACCAATCACATTTGTTGAAGCAGGTGGTATAGACGTACTGAAGAATGATTGTTGTTATAAAGATGATTATATGGAAAACTTTCTAGTTGTTTTTGGAGGTCTAACATGTACTGACACCAAGAAATTTAGAGGACAACCACCTGGTCAAGTGACTGGAAGAGATCTATATTTGTTCCCATGCCAAAGAAAGGTGATCCAACAGAGTGAAAATTATCAAACAATATCATTAATATCACATGCAAGCAAGATTCTGCTGAAGATTATCCAAAAATGACTGGAACAGCACATCAACAGAGAACTATCAGAAGTGCAGGCCGGGTTTAGAAGGGGTGATGGTACTAGGGCTATTGCAACTAGTGTTAGATGGATCTTGGCTGAAAGCAGGAAGTACCGGAAGAATGTCTATCTGTGTTTCATTGATTATGCAAAGGCATTTGACTGTGTGGATAACGAACTGTGGCTGACTCTGAGAAGAAGAATACCAGAATACTTGATCGTGCTAATGTGAAACCTATACTTGGACCAGGAGGCAGTCTTCAGAATAGAACAAGGGAACACTGCATGGTTCAAAATCAGGAAGGGTATACACCAGGGATGAATCCTATCTCCATACCTTTTCAATCTATATGCAGAACAGATTATCAGGGAGGCTGGGCTCTATGAGGAGAAATGTGGCATCTGGATTGGAAAAAGATTCATCAACAGTCTGCCTTATGCAGATGACACAATCCTGCTTACTGAAACTGAGGAGGACCTGAAGCACTTGCTACAGAAGTTTAAGGACTCCAGCCTTCAATATGGATTGAGGCTCAATGTCAAGAAGACAAAGATTCTCACCGCTGGGCCCTTTGGCAGCATCATGATGGATGGTGAAGAGACTGAAATTATAAACAGCTTTAGTTGGCTTGGCTTCATAATTAACACTGTTGGCACCAGCAGCCAGGAAATTAAAAGACATACTACATTTGGAAAGTTTACTGTCAGAGACCTCTCCAAAGTACCGAAGTGTACTGATGTCATGCTGGAGACTAAGATGTACTTGATACAGGTCACAGTCTTTGCAATTACTTGCATGCAAGCAAGATTCTGCTGAAGATTATCCAAAAATGACTGGAACAGCACATCAACAGAGAACTATGATTGGAAGTCAGCTGTACTGGTTATACTAAAAGAGTAAGATCCTCATCAATAGATTGATACGTATAGGAATAGTCAAGCTACGTCAACGAAATGTCAATATCAGGCTGCGGCTTCAAATCCAAAATGGTGGTTAGATGTAAAGTGGAATTTAAGTTGTCGGAATAAACAAACAGTTAAGAATGTGGAGCCAATAATTACGTGAAGGCCGTGAAATACTGTTGCTATAAAGAATGTTGAGCTGTATACGCCGTCTGAAATTGTAATGTAAATGATGATTCATAATATTCGGATGCTTGAAGTAGGGTGAAGTATACTCCTAGTAAGATAGTAATGGATAAGGTTTGAATTATGTGACTTCGATTTCCTTCTATAAGACTGTAATGGGCTCAGGTAATAGTTACTCCTGAGGCTAGTAGGATAGCAGTATTTAATAGTGGAATTTCTAATGGGTTAAGAGGATGGATGGTGGTCAACAACCTCCTAGTTCTGGTGTTGGGGCTAGGCTAGAATGGTAAAAAGCTCAGAAAAACCCTGCGAAGAAGAATACTTCTGAGACGATAAATAGGATTATACTGTAGCGTAAGCCTTTTTGGACAACAGGTGTATGATGTCCTTGGAAAGTACTTTCTCGAATTACGTCACGTCATCATTGATATATGGTGAGGGTATTGGTTAGGAGACCGATTGTAAGAAGTAAAAGTGAATTAAAGTGAAATCATATAACTAACTCTGATGTTATGAGGAGGGCTGATAGGGCTCCTGTTAGAGGTCATGGGCTTGGATTAACTATGTGGTAGGCATGGGTTTGGCGGGTCATTAAGTGTTATCATGTAAATAAAGGCTTACTAGAAGGGTAAAGACATAAGCTTGAATTAATGCTACTGCGAATTCTAGAATTGTAAGGAGAATAAGGATAACGAAAGTGACTATAGCTGTAGGTGTGCTAGTTGATATAAGTACTAAAGTAGCTCCACCAATTAAGTGAATAAGCAGATGACCTGCAGTGATATTAGCAGTTAGTCGTACAGCCAGGGCCATAGGTTGAATAAATAAGCTAATAGTTTCGATAATAATAAGTATTGGGATTAATGGAATAGGGGTTCCTTGTAGAAGGAAATGAGCTAATGAAGCTTTGGTTTTATGTTGGAATCCTATAATTACAGCGCCTGCTCATAGTGGGATAGCTATTCCTAGATTTATTGATAATTGAGTAGTAGGAGTAAATGAGTGTGGTAATAAGCCTAGAAGATTTGTTGAGCTGATAAATATAATTAGTGATATTAGTATAAGTGATCATGTTCAGCCTTTGATGTTATGTATTATCATTATTTGTTTTAAGATCAGATTTACGATTCATAGTTGGATTCTTGTTCATCGGTTGTTGATGAGGCGGTTAGGATTAGGAAATAGAATGTTTGGGAAAGCGATGATAAATACTACAATAGGAATTCCTACTATTGTAGGAGTGATAAATGAGGTAAATAGATTTTCGTTCATTTTATTTCTCATGAGTTAGGGGTGGTAGAAGTTTTGGAGATTTTAGGGGTGGGGTCATAGGGATAAATAAATTTTGTTAAGCTTACTTGGAATAAAATAAATAGGGTAATGAGTATAGATAAAATGGTAATGAATCAAGACGATGTATCTAATTGAGGCATTGTCATTAGGGAGGATGATTAAAATCCTCATCTTTAACTGAAAAGGTTAATGCTTCATAGCTTCTTAATGATTTATAGGGTGGCAGATCAGCTATCAAAGTGTTTTAGGGGTACAATTTCTAGTGCAATAGGTATAAAACTATGGTTAGAGCCACAAATTTCTGAGCATTGTCCGTAGAATAGACCAGGCCATGTGGAGGATAGGGTTGCTTGGTTTAGTCGGCCAGGGATTGCGTCAGTCTTTAGTCCTAGAGCGGGGATTGCTCATGAATGTAGGACGTCTTCTGATGAGATTAGCATGCGGATTGGGAGGTCTACTGGTAGAACTAATCGATTGTCTACTTCTAATAGGCGTAATTCTCCCAAGGCTAGTTCATTTGTGGGGACTATGTAAGAGTCAAAGGTTAGGTCTGTATAATCTGTGTATTCATAGCTTCAGTATCATTGATGGCCCATAGTTTTAATGGTTATGGCAGGGTTATTAATTTCATCTATTATATAGAGGATCCACAGGGATGGGAGAGCAATGAAAATAAGAATTGCAGCTGGTAAAATTGTTCAAATAGTTTCTACTTCCTGAGCGTCTATAGTACTTGTATGTGTTAGTTTAGTAGTCAGCATCGCCGAGATAACATAGAGGACTAAAAAGCTAATTAAGAAAACGATTATTAAGGTGTGATCATGAAAATGTATTAGCTCTTCTATGATCGGAGATGAAGCGTCTTGGAATCCTAGCTCAAGAGGGTATGCCATAAGAGGTATATAAAGATTAGTTTATATCTTAACTTTGACAAA